AGGTGTGCTCATGCAGCGCCGTCATGCCATCGGTTTCAGCCTTGAGATGCTGATTTCTCTCAAGACTCGTTTTGCTTTGAAGTGTTGGATTGGGTTTAGTTTGAGCCATTTGCTGACAATGAACAATTCAAGAATGCCCAAATCTCATGGTTTAGATCAGCAAAGTAGATTAAGAATAATTAGAACAGAGAAATAAAGAGTGTCACAATATATCGATTGATGTCAGATGTTAGAACTCATCAACCTCCGACCTCTTCATGCATTAAACTTCGTGACGTGTGATCAATTCAAACTTGTAGATTGCATCTTCTGTGTTACATTCTGAATGATGATGATTAATTATATCAAACAGGACATCAACTCAATCCAAATGTTTAACTCAGACTCCTCCTATCCTTAATAATATAAGAATATTTTCTTGGTAAATAAGAGAAGATACTGAAAATATTATGTGTGTGAGATGAAAAAAGATGAACTAAAATATTAGTCTCATATGACTATCATTTTTTCCCTCATGGATTTTCTTTGCCTAATTCATACATGAGATGTTTTCTTTTTTTGATGTGGTAAAGTTTGATTAGCTTCTTCTTTTGTTTTGAGAATAATTTAGCTGTTGAAGTTTAACCCAAATCCTTTGATTGCAGAATTGCCAGTTTTTGATTGTTATAGAACCATCTTCACAGTTTGATTTCATGTTAATTACTACTTAAGCCAATAGATGAGAGAATTATTATTGATACATCATCACACATATATATACACACATTCATCAATGAAGTTGATGATTGACAAATGAAGATTTATGAAAGACAAGTGGAAAAGCTTTCTTAAGAAAATAAAAATACTTGATATTTACAAAAGGTAAAAAATATAGTGAAACCCCAAACTGAATTAATCAATGTTTGGGTTAATAATCATAAAAAATCAAAGAAAATTTGGTTTCCACAACACCAAACAAAATCAAACATACTGCTCCTTAGAATTTTAAGAAAGACTTGTACTTGTTTTGCTAAGGTGTCAATCACAAGCCTTATTGTTGATTTCTTAGTCTAAATAAGGATCAAAAATCTTAAATTAAAATCAATTAGAGGATATATCTGAACAATAGAAAGTTATGAAAAGCTAGCTTCTTCCCATTTGTATGTAGATGTTCTTGAATTATTTTTTAATATATTGTTATTAGAGAATAATTCAATTTGATTTTAGATCATCTCATGTGGAAATATCATACTGACTAAGTAATATTTTTTCCAACTACATTAGGATTTGATTTGATAAGTGATATGGGAATTATAAATGATATCTAAATTAGTCCAACTCGATTCAAAGTTACACGTGCAAAAGGCTTATTGTCAATATACTAACTTGCATAAAGACCGAGGTTGATTAGAATGTTCGACAGATCCCTTCGATACTAAAATTAGTTGAGTTAAAAAGTAGAATCATAAATAAATAATAACTAATAAGATATTCCTTCCTTAATTATTTATCCTAGTTTAGGTGCTTGTTGGCATGATCAAGGGTAAATATCTTCCCGATCAATAAGAGATTATGTATTTAAGAATTTTCTTTCTTTTAGATTGTTCTATGATGCAACACAAAACTCATGAGAAATGAGAAAGAGAAATGAATAACAAAGAGAACCTCAAATTAGGGATAAATCAAACAATCTAATATTAGCCATATAATTATAACTATTAATGACAATGATAGGATGTTCATATTTGGAGGGATATATAATAATATATTAAAATTTAAAATGGCAAATATACTATTCCCAAAGTGTGAAAGGACATATATGTAAGCATCCCTTCTTCACTCTTTCCATCTACAACACAAGCAGTGGGAGATGAAGCATACTCCATTTCTTGTGATGAGGTATTGCCCTGTGAAGGTCATTTAGGCTTTTCTCTATAGCATTGACCTCATGCATGTCATAAGTAATGTCCATCGCATGTATATATATATATATATATATATATATATATATATATATATAGCCATGCAGATTCTACTGCACAGAAAGCCACCCTAATTGGCTCCATTTGAACTGTGGCCTCATGGAAGGGTGAGAGCTAAAGTTGCACGGCTTTGAGGGTGCCATTACCTTTTTACAGCACCAAAACCTGCCCTTTCCTTTGCCGAGACAGCCCCACCATTGCCTCTCACCACCGCCATCACTCTCTTCCTTCTCGCCAAAGGCAAAAAAGAGTCGCATGCATGCGTGCCCTTTTGATAATAAAGCTCTCTGTGAGAACGCCTGCAAAGCAATGCTCGGAGTGGTATTGCATTAGGATAAAAGCTGAGAGACCACCAGCCTCCTCTTTTCCTTCTCTCTTCCTCTCCTCACCTCCCTCGCAACTATATATACATGCATATGATCCTTCTGCGTCGCCATGGCTGCTTGTGCTGGCTTTGCTTCCGCGGCAGGAGGAGTCGTCGTGCTTGTCATCGATAAAGGTGGAGGTTCTGTGACCTAAGTTTGGGCAACGCTGCTTCTTCTGATGTGTGGGGGAATCAAGCACACTGGTCCGATGGTTTTCATTACTGTTTCCTCTTCTTCTTTTTGGAGTAGTTATCTACTTGAGTTAGTCTTGTAATGTCGACTACATATAAGGAGTAGACAATGGTGATTGCCTTGGTTTCTGCTTCAGTGACAGCATAATGAATCTTTGATGAATCATTGTTCATTCTCTTCTGCCACACAGTTTTGTAGAGATTGGTAGCTGGCAGCATCATCTATCTATCACTTGGAAAGAAGATATATTGTGGAGTTCTTAGCTCCATGCATGTATCATCTTATTCTCATCTGAATGATGCGTAGATAAATCTCCACAGGCTGAAGCATTAGTCTTATGGTTGAGTTTGCATAAGAATCAAGCAAGAGTTGAACACCTGAAACCAAAGGATGGAAAGCAGTAGGACAAGAGTTGTATCCAATCATTGAGACATTGAAGTAGTAGGACTGAGAAGCTGAGAGAACATACAATTTTTGAGATATTTTTCCTGTTTCTCTCTCCAACAATGTCAAGTTTGCTGCCAGTGATCATGCATGCTTTCTACTAATTGGAGTTCCAACCATGGCAACAGATTTATCTTCTATTACTTTATTCTTCTAGCCATCTTGAAGCCTGGGAAACCTGATGCTTCTGATGTTTCTTGGATTGAATCCATCTTCCTTCTTTGTGATGATATATCAAATATTTATAATAATTGGATGATTGTCTGTTAAAGTAGTAATCTTCTTTTTGCATTTTTGATAGAAATGTACATATTAACCTTTGATGTTCACCTGATTGGAAGATGAGTATGCTGCGAACAAGACTTGTTCTTGTTCTTTGTTGAGTTCATACGGCTGGAATACGAGCTCTAGTATGGATTGCAGTGTCTAAATTCCAGCTGAGACCCATAACTATGAGATCATTACTCAAAAGACTACTTTCTGCAAGAACTAGCAGCCTACTTAGCAACCTGGTGATCAAATTCTGCAAGCAAAGATCATCATGCAGAGTATGATTTCTTCAAAAGAACAACCTTTAGTTTTGTTTCTGCAAGTAGGCCGGCAACTCTCTTTACTGTGAAGATAGTTGGGGACATGAATGCTTGAAAGGCAAGAACACCCTTCTCTCTCTCTCTCTCTCTCTCTCTCTCACAATGGCAAGAAGTACACCGAGGAGCACAGGCACAAACTTTAGTATTTTTATCACATGCTACTCGGAGGGACCAACCTAGTCCGGCCACTGTCTTCCTCCTCATCCTCCCCGCCTTCGCTTTTGCCAGGCAGCAACTGATGCAGTGACTCTTCACCATTGACGTTGGACGAGAGGAATTGATGGTGGACCGGAAGCCAAAGGGGCCATCAAAGTGCATGCCATCACTCCTCTCTCTCTCTCTCTCTCTTCTGTCAGTTGTATGATTAATGCTTCAGAACAGTTTGAACCGGCCAGGACTGATCATGCCTGCCTCCCTCGATTCATCAAGAACAGTTTGCTGGGTATAATGCGACAGCAAGCGCACTCGTAGGATGCATGCCGAGGTCAAGCCACTGCAAGCTAACATCAACGCATAGAATACTTTGAATGCATGCATGCAGAGGCTTTAGAGCCAGCAAACGCACTATGTTCTCACAACATAGTAGATTCCTTTATGACAAGAGAAAAACTTCCGATCTCGTAATATCCGATCCTTCAATTCGATGTTTAAATTCTTAGCATAAGCCTTTTGATCGATTCTCTGGCCTAACGTCCAATCTTTTGATATGTTTATTCCGGCTCAACGTCCGATTTCTCATGTTTTAATCTATTTATTTTTTTTGATCGAAGTTAGTCCTACGTCACTTAAACGCACATTAGATGACAAACATATCAATTAATTTCATCATCAAAATTCAAGATTCAACATCTAATATCCCAGAGATCGTATATCGGGCATGGTGCTGTCAGACCCATAAGATTTCTATATAAGTCTCGCTCTAATCGTATTCTCCCAGAGAACTCTTTTTCTCTCAATCTGAATGACCATGACCAGAGATTTACTGAAGCAACATATCTATATCTTCAAATGCATGAGTATAATTCCATGACGTTCGAAACCATTATAATAGAACTGTAGAAAGAAAGAGCGTTGTTGTTAGAGGTTGACAAAACTCTCATAATTTTTTTCTTTTTGACTGCTATTACGACACACATTTTGTGTTACGAGAATTTGAATGGTTTGATAATGTAAGAAATAATATGATTTTATTTCATCATCTTTCTTTAATCTGTCAAACCTTTGTCAGATTAGAGTTAGGGCGGATCGAGCCATCAATAGAGTGATCATCACGTTGGCTTGGCTCTATTCGTGTGTAGCCTTCACAATGATTTGAACTCAATCGATTGTGAACCCGCGCGCAGCAACCTCTTGAATCACATCTTGATTGCACGAATTTTGTGGACCACGCGGCGTTCTCTTAAGGTAAAACGCGGGTGATCTGGGGAACCACGTCAACAATTAGGGCGCCTCACCCACCTGTGGAGTAGCATTCTGTCGGCATTCCCACTGTGTCCGCCGGAGATTGGAAAGGGGGCGGCGTCTTCCCTCCTCGTCGCAGACGAAGGATGCTGCAGTTCCCGGCGTTCATGCGGCAGCTCCCGTCGCCGCCGCTGATCCCTACCTCCACCCTGCTTCCCGTCGCTGCCCACGCCCAAAGCGACGAGGACTCCCTCGCCGTCTTGGAGTCCGAGCTCGAAGAGAAGGTACGGCTATTCATCCCCTTGCCTTTCTCCGACCCTCTACTCGCTCGCCGTGGTCCTCTCATGCTTCTCTTAACTAGGGTTTCTTATGTGGACTCTGAATAAAAAAAAGGAGGAATCATGTGAAGCGTATAACTTGGTTATCTCGATTGATTCTTTCCTCCTGCGAAATGGGATATCATGCACCTTCTTCGTGACTTTGTATTTACTGCGCTCGATGGATGTTTAAGATGTGGATAGAATCACAAGCCGTGATTACGGCTTTTGTTTGAGAGTCATGTTCTTGTGTGGTTGTGAAAAGATCGGAGAAGCCGATATGATCATCGATAGATCCTATTTTGACCGGAGGAGTCAGATTTGGAGATGTAATTACACTTGATAATGGGTTATTATCCGTCAGACTTGTTATCTGGAATAAAGCAAGAGTTATCTCTGGAAATTAAATTGAGAAAAAAGAATAATATGCTAAATTTGTACTACCTTCTTTATGAATTTGAAATCCCTGCTTGATTATATTAGCTTTGTAGCTTTTTGAAGATAGAGAAAGCAATGGCATTTAAAGCCAAATAAGAAGCATCAAACAAGTTTTGATTTAGAGGTGGACTAAGCAATTGAGGAATCCATCCAAAGCCACATAAAAGATTTTACACCTCGTCATCCTAGTAGTGGAGAATGAGGCAGTGCTGATGGGTTAAAGTGAAATGTGAAATTTGTGTAGTTGATTTACTGACCAAAACCTTTGGCTGGTCCTTGTATCCAAGGAAACTTTTTCTATCCCAGGTTGTGAATGGATGAATTGTCTAGGGTTTTAAATCTCATGGACAACCCAATCCATCACCAGCCTTAAATGGATAATTGTTCTTATGTGAGTCCTTTTTCATTCCAAACACAGGGTCCGTACTCTACCTTTGTTCTAGAGTACAAATCAGTTCATGTATTTTTTTTCCTTGATAATATCTCTAAAATATAATTTTGATACTTGGTTATTTAAAAGACAATAACCATATTTGGATTTTTTTTATTTTAAACATACAGAGGAAAAAAGCTGCATTGCAGACAGTGAGGTTGAATTCCTGTAGCCAAAAACTACATACTATAATCCAAGGGGTATGGTTATATACAGAAAAAATTCCTAATTCTTTAAATTATTTTCTGAGAAATCTAAAAACCATGACATATTTGCTAATTGATAAATAAAACTAAATCCATCCCTAGATCTTGGAGCTAATTAGTTGATCAGGCTGAGGGGCCTTTTTGTTTGTTTATAGAAATATCTGTCCATTTTTCTTAATTTGTAAGCTATTTCGATTGGGACAGCAATGTGACTTTGAGAGATCAAACTGGAGAAATACTTGTTAGGTGTGTTTGTTCTATCAATATGTTTGAGTATGCAGTTATAGCCATATGTTATTTGGAACTTCTACCACCTGCATAAGGCTACTTTTTAAAACATTAATTGAAGATATAGTAGTAAGTAGACTGAAGAAATCATCTTCAGAAAGAAAAAAGTTCTAACTGGAGAAATACTTGTTAGGTGTGTTTGTTCTATCAATATGTTTGAGTATGCAGTTATAGCCATATGTTATTTGGAACTTCTACCACCTGCATATGGCTACTTTTTAAAACATTAATTGAAGATATAGTAGTAAGTAGACTGAAGAAATCATCTTCAGAAAGAAAAAAGTTCTAACTGGAGAAATACTTGTTAGGTGTGTTTGTTTTATCAATATGTTTGAGTATGCAGTTATAGCCATATGTTATTTGGAACTTCTACCACCTGCATACGGCTACTTTTTAAAACATTAATTGAAGATATAGTAGTAAGTAGACTGAAGAAATCATCTTCAGAAAGAAAAAAGTTCTACATATACTGGAAATATTAGTCATTGGGAGCGTAAAGCATTTGTCAAGTGTTCTGAGTACTATATGCTTGTTGTGTGCCCATTAGATTAAAAAAATTCTTTACAAGATAGTTACAAGTTTGGCTACACTTATTAATATAGTCGCCACCATCTCCTTCTTCCCATCACATCGCCAAGGTTGCCACCTCCCCATCATGTTGCCATGGCTGCTATCCCCCATTGCATTGCCATGGCTGCCTCCCAGTTTCATCGCCGTCACCACCTCCTTCACCTCTATGCTTTTTATTCCCCTGCCTTCTCCACCTCCTCTTCCTCCTTCACCTTATCGTCTTCCTCCTCTCCCATCTCCTCATCAGCATGGGGACCGGGTTTAAGGTCACTGAACTGACCAGCATGATAATTGTTGAACTGGTAGTTGTGGGCATAAGAAAACTGGATTTGGATTTGGATTTGGAATTGGTCAACTAATACCATTATATGGTACATCAGTATATGATTGTTGGTTAGAAGATAATGTTTTATTATTTTCTTTCCCATCTGAGTTCCTCGTGTTTTTTAATATTTGAGCAGTTTGTTTTTGTAATTTTTTTGGCTAAAAGTAAAAAATTCGATTACTTAGAAAGTCTAGTACAAAATTCTCCTCGGATATCCAAGCATATTAAGTCAAAACAATCTGAGGGCCACTCTCCCCTCGAAAGAAAGGTGGTTTCTGAAAGTCTAGAAAGATTGGCCAACCAATTGACCTCCCGATTGCCCTCCCTATAAACATGTGTAATATCACATTCTTCAAATTTCTCCAACAAAGGACTTGATATCAACAATGGCATTCTGAAGAACCCAAGGTATAGTTGAGTTTTGTTGAATCAATTGTATGATGCATTCAGAATCTGATTCTATAATGATATGTCTGATGACATCTAGTGAATCCTTCTTCAGACCTTCGATTCCGTTAAGAGGCCATCACAATTTATTTTAAACTATCCTAAACAAGGTTTTATCCATTGAATTTTTATATGACTTTTCTCTTGAGTAGGCTCATTAGGTTTATGGGCTTCATCATTATCTATGACACATGCAATGATTTTATGTAAAAGACGAGTTGGGTTCATTGGATTAGTGTGATTATAGAGGATCTCATTCATGATTTTCCATAACCACCATAAACTTGTGGCAATAATAGATTGTAAGGTGCTGGCAGCATGCATATGTAGGTTTGCACCTTCATATAACTACTGACCTTCATGCTGGTTTTCAAAAAAGAGGAAATGAATGGCCATGTATTGTTGAAGAATTAGCCAAAGAGAAAAGAAAACGTACATGAAAGAAACAATATAGTATAGCTTCCGGGGTAGATTCACAAAGAGAACAAAGGAAGTTATTACAAATTCAGAAAAATGTAGAATAGATTCCGGGGTAGATCCACAAAGAGAACAAAGGAAGTTATTACAAATTCCAAGTCGAGCAAGTTTGTTGGACATTAGGAGGCGACGGTGCAGGTGCGAAAGTTTCTAACAAAAGTATTTAGTACAAGGCAAGACTGGAAGCTTCTACAAATGACGGCACCCATCACCATTGTCCACATATTTACCTGAGAGCTTGCACCATTTCTTGTTTACTTGTTGAAGAGAATCGAGTTCACCCTGGAAAGTAAGCTAACATCACTCCTTCGCCCGGAAAGTCAAAGAATAGAATTGAGGAACCCCTTGTTGCTTGAAATTAAAGAAATTCAAGAGATACACATATAGAATTGAGTAAAAACACACTAGAAACTAGAATATTGAATAGAATTTAGTGCACAACTTGTAGAAGCACAGTAATAACACTCCGAAACTAACGCACCAAGGCTAACGCACCTTACTGGAGTTTCCAAGGGAAAAGCAAGAAGTTATAAGCCGATTTGGTGGAAGCAATGCCTCTCTGGTTTCTGAAATAAAAAATGATAACATGGGTGAAGAGATAAATCAATGTTACAAATTCTATTTGTCAATATTGAACCAAAAGCAGTATCCTTGGTCTCATTGGCCATTGTTTGTAAAACTTGAAACATTACAGTTATTTAAAAATTCATTACAAATAATAAATGTAGTCTTACAAGAGTGTTTTTGTCATGCTTAACAAAGTTATACTGAACTTGTGGTCAGATTTTGTGATAATCTAAATATAGTGAAGACTGTCTTATAGTAAAAAGAATATTTTATTTTTTGCTGTTGCATATCTTGTGTTATTTTGTGGAGATGTTATTTCTAAGAGTATTTCTGTGGTCAACTGTTTGCTGAAATTTTGATTGCCTATTTGCCAACAGTAGTACCAAATAATGCATTCAATTTCTAGAGACAATTGTTTCCTGTTTATAGGAAAAATGATTAGTCCTTGATGTTGACATGGCATGAGGTCCATAACGATGAGAAAATAGACTACTCGTCAGGGCACTAATTGTTGAAAGTTGAAACATACGAAACAACACAATTAGCATTCCTGGTTGCCTTTGCCACTGAGTAGATTGTTAGAAAAAGAACCAAGCTATCTTGTTCCTTGTTTTCTTTATTTGTAGTATTTTTTTTACTCAAATGACCTTTTATATGTTGGTGGTGCCGATCTTCTCTGAATTATGAAAACCGCTTATTAACCTTTACTGTGTGGCTGAATCCTTTTGTCAGTTTGTGTGATCCGTTTACGGTTGCCTTACCTGCAGTGGAGTGAAATCAGAAAGACAAACAGTAACCTGCCTGTGATGGGGAGAAAAATTGTTGATAGCAAGGAGGAACTCGATGCTGGTGCAGAAGATGATGATGTCGACAATGTTGGGGAGTCTGAGGGTGATGAGTTTGAGCAAGAAACTGGTTGATGTATTCCAAGGTATGCAGTTCCCTTTGTGCATCCTCTTGATAGTCTTCAAATTTCTAATTATCGTATTCTATATGCTTGATCATTTAGCCGTTCTGCTTTTCTCAATGTACTTTGGAATTTTGTCAAATGTTGTTTGCATATTTTCCAATTTATGAATTGTTTCCACTTAAGGATTTTGTTAACTTTGATCTTTGTCAATTGATCTACCATTGTCTGCATGGTAAGGCACATGTCGAGTTGATGCTGGTCATGTTGCTTTAACAGATATGCATACGTTTTAAACATGAAGCCAGATTCATTTTTCTATATAAATCAGTCTTAGACTCAAATCAAAGAATATCTGAATCCGAGTTAATTGGGTTGGGTAGGTGAAGGTACCCCAAAAATAAAAAGACAAGACTTGTTATTTGCCTATAGATTGATGATAGAGAAGCCATCTGCATCCTATTTCTGATACTTATTTTTGTATCAAAATCCGATTAAAGAGTACCTGACTGTGACTCGCTACCATGCAGAGGGTGTCATCCTGATCCGCATACAGCCCATAGGATATAATTGAATGGTGGGTCAGCTATTGCGGAGGAGATTCTCATTTGATAGGGCACTTCTTTGGATAAGGGTTGGTAGCCGAATCAAGTTTTGTTTACTTGTGTCATATAGGAATGCGATTAGGTTCCTCTACTCTTTGCTTTTCCTTGAAATAGTTTTGTTGCCCGTACATACTGGACTTTTTGATCCCATACTCTGCACCACGCTATGGCTTGGAGATCAAGCATAGGATTGGTAGCTGTAACTGCTGATATCATTAATAGCTTTCCAAAAAGCACAGAAAGATTTCAGTATCGATCTCATGAACTTTCTCCATTGTTGGATTCCTTTTGGTTGGTGGAATGGATTTCCTTCAGAGATCCGAAGTTCGATGGTGCAGCGTTTGCAATCTGCACTGGAGCTTTCTCATGCCCATGTGGAATCAATTAGGTCACTTCCATCATTCCATGGCCTCCTAACTTGAGTCAGTGATCAACCTAGCTTTTGTACTGTATATATAAAAAGATATAGAGCATCTGAACCTTAGTGGGCATACTAAATATTCGAAGGGCCCATGGCCATGTGGTAAGCTTTAAATATCGAATGAATCTGGCCTCCAAGTAGAAGCTAGAGTGATCTTTTGATACTCCAACAAAAAATGAACGGAAAACCCCTTGTTTTAGCATGTTTTATCCTTTCATGTCTTGGAAATAGCACAGTTTTGCCCCTCTAAATTCTAATATAGCATATATATTCCTTCAAATATTTAGATATTAAGAATATATCTCTTTGTTCAAGTCTTTTTCATCATTTGGTGATCTACATTTGTAACTCTAGTACTGATCACCAAATCATATAAAAAAATCTTATAATTACACTAAAAGCTGTCCTATATTACATCAAGTTGCACCCTTTAATCTCATAAACTTGTGAGTATAAAATTTTGTATATAAAGTGAAGGGAGACTAATAATTTTAGGGTATGACAAAATAACAACTGGGAGGAAAAAAAAACTAGGTAATTTTTTTGGGAATCTTATTGATTCCAGGATATTCCCTTCTTTCTTGCAACTTGGTGGTCCTTTCCCTGGAGATTTGAGCCAGAGGAAGCCCCATGTGCAAGCAACTTGATGAACTCTCCACCAGTTGAGAAGAAAAGGACTATAAATAATAACTATTGTGGACCTACCAATCCCATGGGATGAGAGGAGTCAGAGTGCTCCAGGAATCAAGATGAGTAAGCCAAAAGCCTAAATCACTGTATAAATATAATTCCTTTTCCACCCTAATTAAACTTAGAGATAGTAGATGCGTTACATCAGCCAATAAACAAGTACCCAAATAGTTCCTCAGTCATATGAGCATTTCTGATGATTTGCTTATTAATTGATGTCAAAATTCTGTACATAAAGTGGTGTACATTGACTATGGACTTCTGTGTCTGACCTTGAAATCACATTATGTATTGTGCTGGGAAACTTTCTAGTTCTCACAAGAATCTGGTTAGAACAAGGATTTTCCTGAAAATAAATATTGATGTGGTATCCAGGGAAGCCAACAAGTGTATTCACTTGTTGACATCATAGAAGTTCCCAAAATCTGGAGGCACTGAGGATGTATTTGTTTTGTAAAGTGATACAAATTATTTTTTCTTGGAAAAAAAAGAACTTTAGAGGAATTGGAAAATGATTTAAAGTTGGGTAGAAAAAAAAGATTTCCCTGAAAATAAGTATGATCCCAAAGGTATAGGAATTATCATATTACTTGAATTTGGATTCGATTAACTGTCTAGCATTTGAACTTTAAACACAAAATTCGACTCATTGCTATTTCTCTATCTTAGATGTATGAATCCGATTTTAGGGAGTCGTACATGAAGACGGAATCTGAGTCTTATATATTTACGAGTTGATGTGGTGAATGAGTGGATTTCTATTCAGAGCCACAGTGCACTCGTCCGGTCTAGCAACACATCATAAAGCATGGGAACGAAGTGGAGAACAGACTGTGTCCTCCGTAACACCAGCAGTCTGCGCCATGGACATGTCACGTGGCGTAGGACGGGAAGAGCCACAGGCATCGGTGCCTGCATCTGGCAGGGGGGATGTGATATCTCGGACGGTCGGGCAGTAACATCGGGCCCACCTGCCGGCCCAACCTGACGCGTCGCACGGGTGAAGCCCCACCACCGCCAACCGGGATAAGGAGATAAGAGGCCACGGTGCTCTCCGCACCTCAAAATAAACTAAAGGACACCATTAAATACATAAGAGGCAAACAATAAAGAGGGAGGAAAAAAAAAAGGGGGGGGGATAAAGGAAGACTGGCACGCAATTGGTCGGATCCTAAGAAGAAGGAAAGGAGATAACGTTGGCAGTAGGCTTCTGTATGCCACCACGATCTCCATCTTCCATGGTAGAAGGCGGCCAAACAACCGGAGGTGACCCCATGGATTCCTGATCACATGATGGCCGGTCGATTCTTGTTCACATGGTGGTCTGTGGAGTGTTCTGGATTAAGTGATCTCCTCGCTGTTACGATGTCCTCGACGAATATTACCTCTGGAGAGTTCTTCCTTTCGTAATGATTACTTACACGTGGCTTATGCTCATTGACTGGGTCGCATGTCCGGACGATCAAACGTATATAGTGTTCATTGACTGTAAACACTTACCACTCTAATTTATTACCCAATTTTTAGACTTAAATCCCGGTTGATATTTTCATTTCCTCGGTGTTTGGTAGATGGGAAGGCAACATGTATATTTCAAATCAAAATAAAACGACCGGTAATGAAGTGGGAAGACAGCTACCAGAGGAATCTGTGAACCTAAAGTAACCCCTACTTGAGTTCTACCAAATGGAATCTCTGACCTTTCCCAAGTCTTGGCCTGTTTTCTTGTGAACGATACCAATCTCTCTTCATGAATATTTCATTTCAAAACCTATTTAAATTTATATATGGAGAGAGAGAGAGAGAGAGAGAGAGAGAAAAGAAAGGATTGGTCCGACGCAAAGGCAAATAGACAGCCTGGTCCACGCCGTAAGATATGACCAAAGCAAGGTTGGGGGGCGTTTGGGACAGTATGACAACCACATAAAACCCATTTGATCTCTCTGTCACGGGCCCACTGCGTGACCCTTTGCCGTCGTTTCCCTCGCGGCCCAAATAATATCCGCAGTCCTTTTACCATTTACTAGTGGATGAATGGCTGCTGCTGCCTTAAACGTCAAGACTACTTTTTGATATTTTTCTTTCAATTAACACTCGACATCACTTAGTTTTTAAATTTGTTTCCTTAATTGAGTATTTTTTAAAATATAAATAATTTTATTATATCATATTTAAATTCAAATCTGAGATACATCATTTTATATAATAATATATTATATTTTATTTAAAATATTTGATGTTAATTATTGTTATAAGTTGTAAAATAAAAAAATTATAGATAAATTTTAGTGAAAATTAAATATGTGAAGGTGTTGATATTTATTTTAAAATCTGTGAGCTCAAATACTTTATTTCTCTTTTTTTTAATTACCCGGATAAATATTAAAAAGCCAAACGCTTCGCCTTCCCTTCCGTCCTATAAATGAAGGGACGAGGGTGCCTAAGTTAAGGCTTGAAGCCGCCTCCAAAGCACTTCGTCCTCTCTTCCCTCGTCCTCCCTCTCTTCTCTTACCTGCCAATAGAATCACCTTATAACGAGTCAACAGAACAAGGAAGAGTGAGGCAAGCGAAGAGGGGAAGTGGAAGCGTAGAAGGCAATGGTGGGCGCCTTGTCATCGTCCTCCTCCTCGTGCGCCTCCTTCGGCTCCTTCGAGGAAGACGTCACCGCCGCCGCCAAGCCCTTCCCCGGCGCCGCCTCCGTCAAGTTCCTCTGCAGCTACGGCGGCAGGATTCTCCCCCGCTACCCCGATGGCAAGCTCCGCTACGTCGGCGGCGACACCCGCGTTCTCTCCGTCGACCGATCTGTCCCCTTCTCAGGTGCTCCCTCCCTCCCTTTGTTCCTTGTTTCGTTTACGATCGCGAGGAGAAGAGATGTGAGAACGGGTGGGGTTTGGATGGTGGACAGAGTTGCGGGAGAAGATGAGGGAGCTGTGCGGGTGGGGCGCGGTGAGCGTCCGGTGCCAGCTGCCGACGGAGGACCTCGACGCCCTCGTCTCCGTCAAGTCCGACGAGGACCTCACCAACGTGGTGGAGGAGTACGATCTCGCCGGGCGCGAGAAGATCAGGGCCTTTCTGTTCCCCCCCTCCAACAAAGGCGGCGGCGAGAGCCCTACCCATCGGGCCACGCCGATCTCGGTGGCGGTGCCCGCTGAGCGCTGCGTCCACCAGATCTCCGCGCCGGCGAGGCCCGCCGGCCGGTTCGAGAAGCCCCCCGCCGCCGGGGATCTTCGCCACCACGGCCACGGACACCACCACCACCTCCACGGCCGTCATGCGGCCCCCAGGCCGTGCAACTACCTCGTGCACCACGGAAGCCACTGGCAATGATACAATCACCACCACCACCATCGCCAGTGTTTTTGGGCGAAGAACTCGAGGTAAAGCAATGGAACGAAACAGAGATTGATCTTTGTGAACTGACGACGACGGACTGTATCAATCTCGCTTGTCTTCAATACAATAAATCTATTGAAAAATCCAAAAAAAACCACAAAAAACCCTTAACAAGAGTTCTTGATCTATTCTACTTCTTCTTCTTCTGCTGCCGTTGCTGTGTGACTCGCCTTCGTTTCGTGTTCCTTCCTCCCCATTCGATCGAGTCGCACGTGTGTCCTCTTCATTCAAAACAGTCTCGCACGTGTGTGTTCCGTCAGGTCTCCGTCTTCCTCGTCTCTCCTTGGTCGCGTTTATTATGTTCCTTTGTCCCATTTCGTGTCCGTTAGCTCCGTTTGTTTATCGTCAGCTGAAACGTTTCTTTTGCTCATTCCTATTCGTTAATATGCTACTGATTCCTTTTTCCTTTGTCTTCACGTCGCAGGTTACTTTACGGCGGAGGGAACCCTTTTCTTCAGGGGACCGAATAATTTTTTATCAGGAAATACAAAGAAAATCTAATTATTATTATTTTATGAAGATAAAAATATACAAATTCTTCATATTTTATTTTTTTTCTACAACATTCTTACCCAATTGGACCTCTTTTTTTTTGTGTTCATCCTAAGGTAAGTTGATGAAACCAATATATATATATATATATATATATATATAATTTTTTGATGAAACCAAAATTATATACATATATAATTTTTTCGATAGTTTTCATTATTTTTACAAGCTTTGTTGTGGTTTAAAACTCTTTTTTCATAGTTTTAGCTGGAAAATCTTTTGCAACTTTTTGTTCTTTCTAGTTCATAATATATCTTCTGGAATTTGTTCTTTCTAGTTCATGATTGCTAGTGAATGAGCAGAGATCCCTTGACCAGTGTGCCAAGTTCTCATCTTTTTTGGCCTTTTCCACTCCTTACAAGGTGGGAAGAGATGGTGAGATGTGATATGGACTTTTAGTTCCGATTGAGGCCAAGCCTGCCTAAGCTTTAGATATGTGAAATCAACTCTTGTGCTGCTAAATGACTTAAACCTCCAACTCAAGTTTGATCCGACCTTTAATTCTCCTCAAATTTTTGTCCCCTTCCTACTTTTTAGAGCTGTAGAATGATGAACTCTTGCTTCCCCCATTTCTTGTGAATCACTTCAAGAGTTCCTCATCTTTCTAGACACTGTGAAACATGGAGAGGAGAGAAATGCTAAAAAAAGTGCCCCATTCATCACTTATCACTCCTTTTTTCGTTGATCTATTTGCATATAGCTTCTCAAATGGACTCTTACAATTTTTTTTTCAGATATTTTATAAAATTCAAGTATTTGGCAATACTTCAGTAAGCAGTTTCTCTAAGAAATCAAGCATTTCTTTTAGGAGAATAAGTTATTTCTCTACCATTTTGAGAAGTAGGTCTCTGTATTGGTATTTTTGCTTATTATTATTATTATATCTATAATAAATTTTAATGAACTTTCCAAAGTGTTTCCCTCGGATGACCAATTTGTAACTACAAAATGAGTTTTTATGAGACCCAAAAAAATGTAAATGGGAATATATATGTCTTGACCTTCTTAGAATTTTTGTTTTTGTGATTGTTCTTTTTGACATTTCAAAATTTAGTCTATCTTTGTTTCAAGTTTTTGTTTTTTCAATAATGCTTTAAATGATGATGATATTTTGGGTTAGTGAGTGAGTTGAATTGGTCAGACTATCATATATGATGGTTGGATACAAATGCCACTCAAGATATTAGTTGAAGCTAATACATGACAATCTTACTCTATTTTGTCCTTGACAAAACAAGATTACTGTTTTTTTTTCTCACTCTCTCTGGTACATCAGAACAATTTCCAATATTTTTACACATCAATATCTAATTGTTCTTTCTCTTTCCATGAGCTGCACATATTTTTATGGTATCATAAACACATTTCATAATATGACTCTTTCAAGTTTTCTGAAGCTTTCATCTCAATTTCCCATTCTAAAAGCAATTTTAGACAGTCTTTTGATTTATTATTTTTTTCATCTGATTTTTTAGTTGTCACCATTAGTATCCTCTTTGTTTTTTTATGATTGTCAATATAAGAGGAGAAATCTAAGAGACACTAATTTAATTTATTCATCACTATTCTTCTGATTTTTCAAATCTAATCTCACCTACTTCAAGATTTGTTAACTATCAACCTTTAGAAATAATGTGTATAAATAGGCATATGTAATATGCATTGGTATGTCTGCAAGCTTAAGAGAAATAAATAGGAACATGCGTGCAAATGAATCAAAGTGTCTTGATCAAATGCATGGTGGCAAGATTATATTCCCTTAGGATCAAACATCATATGCTCAAAATAGGCAAATGTTTATCTACTATGTTTATATCATGAAATCACTCTCTTTTAGGCATTGGATTCCTTTTCTAATATATTTTTGTTTTTACAATTATTAAGGGAATCCTATCATCTTCTATTCTTGTGATATCTACTATCCATAATCCTTTGTAGAATCATATTTATTAAAGCAAAATCTAAGTGATCTTGAGAGAAAAAAGAAACTAAATTTTGATAGGAGAGGACAAACTAAATTTAATACTAAGATATTACTTGTTACCTTGGGTGGGTGAATTCAATCAGATAAAAGAACATCTAAGATAAGATAGCATTCATTAACGTCTCGAGCTCTCCAACTATCGCATTGGTAGAAGCCTCGAATCATACTGTATAAATGATGACAAAAAGGATATTCATAGGATGTTGTACGAATGATGACAAAGAGGATAAGGGTTTAGACTCTATTGAAAAGGATAATGGAGGAGAAATTATGGTGAAGATGGGGAATGAAATCTGTATTCTTCTAATTGTGTTTTCAATCACATCCCTTTGCATCCGAGCTTTGAGTGACAACAAAAAAGATTGATTGAGAAGAAGATAATAATGACGAAGAAAGAAGATGAGCAAAATAGAGAACAAAAAAGGAGAAAGAAAATGATATAATCAAATCATTTCCTATCAGTTGATATAGGATGCTAAATATATCCACTAGTCCTAAGTTAATTTTTTTGGCAAACAAAATGACAATAGTATGCTTTCAAAACAATCATAAAATTTGAACATATTCATAAAAAGTATAAAATTGTAAAGCCAAATTTAAATCGATCATATTATATCACATGCAAAATCATATATCAATGAAGATAGAATCAAACATCCAACACAAGTTAGATAATATTTTTATTACTTACTAAGATCATATTTAATCTTATATTAGTTGAATAATGGGGGAGTTGAGATATTATAAAAAGTCAAAAAATAAAAATTAAAGATAGAATACGTTCGTATATTATATGCTTTGTTCTTTAGTTTAAGTACAAAAGTCATTTATATCTTATATCTTGCTTTATATAAAAGATTATGATTATTATAATTAAAATTTCACTAAGTTGAAGTGATGTAATTTCTATTGCCCTCTTTTATCTTTCAGGAAATCTAGAATTTGGATACTAATTAGAATCAAAATCAAATTTTGGTTCTAACATATTAACACAATTAATATGCATGAAATTCTACAACAATCTATTAGATCCACTATAATATGCATGAAATCCTACAATAATTAAAAAACATATTAATACGAAAGCGTAACTGATCAATCTATTAGAGTATTTTCTGAATTAATAGGTGATTTGATTTTTCAATTATAGAGTATCCTTAAGAACTTTAGATTTCTCCGGGTGAAGAGAAACTTCATTAGATACTGCAACCGGGAATCATAACCTTATTTATAGTCATAATTGATGAATCTACAATTATGATTATATTCTTGATAAATCTGTTATTATGTCTCAAGAGTTTCATATTCCTAACTTATCTCGTCATTAAGTTAGAAATATGACTGATGGTATCCACACAATTAATTTTCATAATAATTATATCCCTTAATTAAATAATTTTATTTTAATTATATTACTTTAATTTTGATTAATCAAAATAATAACTTAACATATTTAATTATACATATGTAACTCTTAAAATTCTAATGCTTCAAAGTCATCAATTATTGATGGTGAAGGACAGATAACAGAGAAAGAAAGATGATGAGTACATAAGTCCAAGAAAATCAATCAAAGTATTGCTGCAAGAAAGGAACAAAAACAGGACGTTCACGAGAAGATATTAACAGTACCTTAATGTCTAATGTTTAGACAGAGAAACAAAAACTCAAATCATACTGCAGAGGAAAAAATCCAAAGCTAATGTTGTCTTTAATACACAACACTATAAAAGATACTTTCATCCCCAATATTAACTCGTGTGTACGTCATTTAATATAATAAATAATTTTTCTAATTAAAGAAAACATACTAATTCCTTAGAGTTTTCTCGAGTCTATCGTTGTCGAGAAGAAGGAAGGTGAAGTCGACGACGACGCACTCGAATCACCGTTAGGGAATCAAATGACAGCTTCAAAGTAGGACAGTGGTGTCTTTGAGAACAGCGGAGAGAAATAGGTAAAGAAGAAGATGGTGCATAAGGGATCAGATCACAGGAGAGGTGTAGACTGTAGGGAGTGGGAAACATGAAAGCCACTGTAATGTTCATTGATTCAATCTTCTCTCATTCTACTTGGAAAACTGTGTTTTCTTGATTGATATTTTGGGCAGGTGAATCAATTCAATGATTGAAAGGCATGTTCTCTGGGAATTAAGAGACAAACTTGTACTACCAATTACTTCTAACATCACTAAAACCTGTCAACCAATTACCTCCAATATAACTACCAACTACCAACTACCAATTACCTTCTTGATGACCAAAATGAGAGTCTTTTGAACATTTCTAGCATGGTCTTAGCACACAAAACCTACATCCGTAAAAATTATTAAGGCGTTCGATCATGCAAATCTTATTTTCGGTATTATTTTTGTTAGAGTTGGCCATCAGTCTACATCAAGACGAATTTAACTAATGATTCGGGATGCTGTTTTGAACTTATTAAGAGATTTAGCTCTTAATTTGGTCCTCAATATTTTCTTCAAAACTTATATACGGTATGTGATTTATAACGTCTTTCTTGATGCTCAAGATAAAAAGATACTCGAAAGGAGGATCAATGATTAAAATTAAGAATCTAAAGACACAAGATATCTTGTATCGTATTTCAAGAAACTTCTATTTATAATATGAGAACCCTAACCGTAAGTGATTAGAAAAATATTTTGAAGTTAAATATTAATTTAACATATAATTTTAGTGTTTCTTATCATTTTCTAGCTAACTATGCTCCCATGTCGAATCTTGATTGACTAAGAATATTCATCATATTTGTATTATTATTATTTTATTGATTCTCTCGTATTAAATTTGGATCAATAAAACAATAACTTAATGCTCTCTCTCACTCACTTAACCATCAATCAACTGATGGCATTGTTGCCATGAACAATAGCTTGTCAATCTAAAGGGCTCCTGTGATGCAACCCACTACCCAACATCTTTCACATTCATTACTGATGTCCTCTTCATTTATTGGTTTGGCCCATTTCCATGGTAGATTAAAGTGATTTATTAGTTCACAACCAAAACCCTATCTCAACTCCCAAATTAGTTTTTGTTTTCTTTCCTCATCAATGGTTTCCTG